TTGATCTGGGGATGGGGCTGGGCAGTCAGGCAGGGAAGGGAGGTGCCTGGCAAGATGAGACTCATGCTTCCAAAGCCCCACCTGCCCCAGGGGGAAGGTGAATGGGAAGGGGAAACCGAGAGTCTAGAAGAGGCCAGGTGTGAGATGCCAGGCCCTGCGTGACTTGGTGACAGTGGGGGTGGGGGTGGGATGCGGAGGATGACCTCACTCAGGAAGGTGGAGTGAATGGGGAGGTGAGTGAGTGTCACACCCATCACACCCGGGCACCTCCCAGGCTTCTGCCTAGAGTGGTGGGAAATGGGGAGACCAGGTTGGGGTGGGCAGGGGAGGAGGAGGAGGATCACCCACCTGCACTCGGTGAGTGAATAAGAAAGATGAAGGCTGAGCTTGGTTTTAGAAACTGCCAGGTATGCAAAATCCATCAATCAACTTAAAGAGCAATGGGCATTCACAAAGGGCCCCCCCCAACCCCTGTGTTTTTTGAAACCAAATCTAACTCCTCTTGGTTCCTAAGCCCAAATCAGATGAACTATATTTAAGCCAACAGGTTGTTCAAACCCCATTGGCTCAATGCCATGGATTTCTGGAACCAGGGGAAGGAGTTTTAAGTAATAGAACAAGTTAGAACTAAGTAGCACCTGTGGAAGGGAGGAATCACCAAGAAAACTTGACCAGGCGATTACTTCACTAGCCCCCGGGGCCAGGCAAGTTTCCAGCTGCCTGTGAAATCCGGGAGGCCCGGAAGTGTGCTGGAGCCAAACACAGGCTCTGGAGGACAAACCGAGAACCACCTTCTGATTTGGAAGGTGCGAGCAGGTTTTCAGTACTGGGAAGAATTCATCAGCCTTCGACACCTGGGTGCCAGGTAGGCATGGAAAACAGTCACTTCTTGCAGTTTAGGTCAAACTGAAGGGAAGACCGTGTTGACAAGAGCTTCCTGTGGACAGCACCTTCCGGCTTACACAGGAAGAATACAGAAGCAGAGATGGAAGGATCCGCCCCCCTTTAAATATTTCTGTATCATTTACATTTTCATAAATTTAAATAAAGCTACACCCCCACCACTTGCAGCCTGTTGAGATGGAGGGGAGAGGATCCGGTCCTGATGTCATCCTGTGAAACCCATGGTGGCCTCTGAACCGGTTTACAGTCCCGGCTAGGAGGTAGGCAGCTCTTTTGTCCCTTGCCAAGTGGATTATTCAAGGTGGTCCCACGTTGGAGAAATGGAGCGACAGGTACTAGAATCAGTTTGGTGTTGATAAAACAAAACCCCAAACACCCACTCTTGCCATGCTTGCCAGAACTGGCGCTCGGCTGGGTACTGCCTCTGCCACCAGCGGCACTTCTGAGGACAGCATTTGTAACCGAGGCTCCCATTTCATCCTTAGAACGCGTCATGGGGTGCTGTCCTTGGCTGTTTTCCAGATGAGAAGGCATCCTCCAAGCCGACTCGGGAGCAGGGGACTTCCAGTCAAATGAGCTTGGGCAGCACCTGTCGCCGACTGAGTGCCTTCACGGAAGCTTTGCCTCTGTAGCTTCTGGAACACCCAGGGCGGGAGGGTTCCGGGTTTGAGGAAACTAAGGCTGCAAGGGCTTTCAGCAAGTGGATGATCAGTCCCTGGGATGGGACAGGCCTTGGTGCTCTTGGTCTCACTTGCATGGAAATCATTTAAAATTTTTAATGACATAAGCAACATACAATTTTTACGGAAATTTCAATGATACAGAAATATTTAAAGTCAGTATCCTTCTATCTCTGCTTCTCTATTTCTGCTTCCTGGAAGGAACGGCTTTGATCAGTTTTCTATGTAGGTCTTCCCCATGAGCACACATCCTCCCAGTGGGGTTTATTTTTCACAAAAAAGGATGGCGCCAGATGCATGATATGCTGCATGCTTCATTCATTCAGCCAGGTATCATAGTCACCACTCCCATCAACACGTGTGGAGTTCCTTATCCTCATGAACAGGTTTCACTATCTCCATGGAACCCAAATGACACCCCAGTTGGTGGATTCTCACTGATTCTCTACTATATATTATTGCAAATAAATCAGATATAAGCTCCCAATCAAGGCTAGTGGTTTTATTTTTTGCCTCCTTAGGTAGCTTTATTTAACTGATGGCCTTAGTCCTATTCCTATAGCAAGCTCATTTTAAAAAGCAGTTGTTGGGCTGGGGATGCAGCTGAGTATCAGAGGCTGCCTAGCTCGAGGCCCTGGGTTTGATCCCTGACACCCCAAAACAGAACAACAGCAACAAAACAACCCCCAAAACCAAAACAAACAAAACAGCTGTTAGAGTTAACTGCGCCTCAGTCTTTGGACTCTCCTGAAAAGTGGTCATTTTCATGGCTCCAGGTATTATATTTACCCAATCCCATATTGAAATTGGGTTTAGGTCGTTAAATTTTTAACTTATATTACTACTCCAAATTTTCCAACTCAAGTTTCAGTTCTTCCAGGAAATTCATGGTATAAGGTGAATAAAGTTGTGCTTTAGGTGGTAGGAGAAACTGTGGGATTCTAGGTAGGAGAAAGGAAGGGAGGTCGGAAGGAAGCTGGGCAGCCTAACATTCATGTCAATTTCAAGATTTTATTCTAGCAGCGCAAGGACCAGGATTGAGTAGATCAACTACGGACTGTTACTCTCGCTGGGTCCCAGGCCAGTACTCTGCCTTGGGAGAAACCAAGTCCTGCCTCTTCCTTCTCCCAGGCTCTGTGAGATTCAGACTGTTTTCTTTTTCAAAATTCTCTCTTTTTTGGGGGGAGGGAGTGGTCCTTTTCCTTTGAAGTGGGCAGCGGAGTAGAGACCGGTTTTATATTCTTCCTTCCTTGCTAATATTCCAAGACTACTTCTTCTATCATTTTCTTTCCCTTTAGAGAACTTCCTTTATAAAACCATTATTATAGAGCAGGTCTGTTGGTCAAAAATTCTCTTAGCTTCTCTTTGCCTGAGAATATTTAATTTTTTTTCTTTTTAGTTGTAAATGTACACAATACCTTTGTTTCATTTCTATTTATTTTTATGTGGTGCTGAGGATGGAACCCAGTGCCTCACCCGTGCTCCACCACTGAGCCCCAGCTCCCGCCTGTCTGGGAATATCTTGATTTGCCTTTCATTCCTGAAGGCACTTTTGATGGACATATCCTGTAGGATTCTGGGCTGACAGCCTTTCAAAGATGCTGTGCTGTTTCCTATAGGCCTCGTGGTTTCTGGTGCGGAACCTGGAGTCGTGAGTATTGTTTCCCCCTGTAAGTCATGTGTTGTTCCTCTCCAAGTGGTTTTAAAATGGAAAGCTGGTTGTGAGGTTCTGGGCCTTATTAAGCCTTCTGTTTTAGTTGGCTTTCCTGACAGGAGAAGGGAGTATGTGCCACCTCATTGCCCCCAGCGGGATCTGGGTTTCCCGCTCGCCTCCAGTGCTGGGCAAGGGCAGCCCCCTCACTGCTGGGCAGGGGCAGGAGTTCCCTTCACCCCAGGCTGGGACAGTGAGGGGTGCCTTGCTCCTGCTCCTGCAGGGCCTTGCTGACACTGTGGAAGTGGGTGTGACCAGGTCACCTCTGGGTGGCTGTGACAAAAGTCTTCAGTCCCTTCTCTGGAGGGGGGAGGTGGGAGACCAGGCTCCTGGTTGACTTGAGGTGGTGGGAGCCGGGGCTGGGCCACAGCTCTTTTCTGTGCTGTTCAGAGCGGAGTGGTTATTGTCTAAAAACGTTCTGTCTGGTAAGCTGTTCCCTTCCTGGCCCTTTGGCTGAACACAACAGACTTTTGTTGGAAATTTTTATGTATTTAATTTTTGTCAGCATCCACTGGCATTTCTGGTGGGTGGCTTCTCAGCACCGATGCTGGGATCCATGAGGCAAAGAAATCAGAAACAAAACACTCCCTGTTGTGGTTTAGGGGTGGTGTCCCCCAAGAGCTCACGTGTGACGATGCAGGAGTGGCTTCACCCAGTCAGTGCATTAGTCCCCGATGGGATTAACTGAGTGGTGACTGACGGCAGGTGGGGGTGGCTGAAGGAGGTGGGTCCCTGGGGCATTTCTGTGGGGAATACATTTTGCTCCTGGTGACTGGAGTCCCCCTCTGCTTCCTGGAGCCCTGTTCCCAGCCACTTCCCTCCACCGCACACTTCTGCCATGGTGCTTTGTCTCACCGGAAGCCCCAAGGAATGGAGCAGGCTGTCTATGGCCTGGGACCTCTGAAACCATGAGTCCCCGAATAAACTTTTCCTCCAACAGTTATTCTTGCCAGGTCTTTTAGTCACAGCAGCGAGAAACTTGACTAAAACACTCCCCGAGACCCCCAAGCCCAGAGAACCCACCACCGTGTTCTTTCAGGTCCCTAGTCAAGTCTGCCTTCTCTCCACCTTTCAGAGTCTTATGTTTTCTGTTTTGTCTTGTTTGGGGGACTGGGGATTGAACTCAGGGGCACTCGACCACTGAGCCACATTTATTTATTTAGAGACAGGGTCTCACTGAGTTTCTTCGTGCCTCAATGTTGCTGAGGCTGGCTTTGAACTCATGACCCTCCTGTCTCAGCCTCCCGAGCCCCTGGGATTACAGGTGTGTGCCACTGCTCCTGGCTCTTACATTTGTTTCATGGATCATGTCCAAGGCTTTTGGTTGTACTCCGTGGGAGGAATGAGTAGAACTGTCCGCTCCATCCCACAGAAGCCGTCCACACACATCAGCCATTTTGCCCTGTTCTCTTTCCAGGCCTGTTGGAGCTCTGCCTGCCCATCCCACTTACTGTCTATCCTCACATACTTCCACCTACCTCAGGAGCCATTTCCCCAGCCTTCATGAAGAAGATGAGAATGGAGAGGAGCAAGAGGGGGTGATGGGGAAGGAGAGGAAGGGGGTGGAGAAAGCGGATATCAGGAGCAGCAGACCCCCTGCCGCTCCCCTCTCCAGACTCACACGGATCTCTGTGATCAAAGCCCAGTTCCAATAGCATGGCAAGGGACACCTTACACAATTTTGGTCTCTGCCCCCTTATGCATAGGTCCCTCCATCTGAGTGCCGGAGCTCATCTTCTGCCTGCCATGTCTGCCCTCCCACTCCCTCCCGTCAGAGCTTCCGGCAGAGACAGAGACAGGGACAATCTCTGAAGGTCAGTAGGACTTTAAATTCATTACAGATCTGGGTTATGCTTGATATTTTTTTGTCTGGTGACACACAAAGAATGTCTGGTGAAGACTATTTTGGAGAGTAAAGGCCCTTGCCTGACTGCGTGAGTCTGTTAGTGGAACTCCAAGAATTAAGTCAAAATCCTGTACCAAGCAGGTAAATTTAGCTCTGGACAAAGTTATCTGCAACACTGAGGACGGCAGAGGCAGGCAGGAGAGCAGGCAGATTTTGGAGAGTTTATTCAAAATCCTAATACACCTGTCTTAGTCTGTTTTGTTAATATAACTGAATCTTTGAAGCAGGATTAGTTTGTAAAGAAAAGGGGTTTCTTTAGCTCAGTTCTGGAGGTTCAAGGGTTTGGTGCCAGCATCAGATTGGCTCTGGTGAGAGATCTCATGGTAGATGGCATCACAATGGTAGGAGCATGTGGAGGGAGAGACCCGATGGTGAGACAGAAAGTTGGAGCACAGGAAGGGGCCAGTAATGACCTCCCAACAGGCCCCCTGTCTTAGACGTCCCACAACCTCTATGCCACACTGAGAACCGGGCCTCCAGCATGTGAACCTCTCCGGGGACACTCCGTATCCAAATTGTAGCCACATCTAAAGAGATAACAAATTTAGTTGAGGGCTAGGGGAAGCAGTCACCCAGCTGGGAAGAATGTTCTGGCCCCAGGAAAGGCCCAGGGCCTGAAGGCAGGGACAGCCCTGTGTGGTCATGGATGCTCCATCCGAGACCCCACACCGGAACTCCAGACCACCTCCCCGCTGGATTCTGGGCTTCTTGGAGGCCTTTGGAATCTAGCTTCCATGTCCATTCTGTACAGCCAGGGAACTGGTCTGAAGCTGTAACCATCTGGGCTCACCCAATTCTTTTTACTTCAAAAATAAAATGGACTCTCATCTCTTACGAGTTTGGTTGGTAGAAATCCATTGATAATAGTGTTCATAACAAAAACTTAAAGTTTTCTGGCACCTGCTCTGTGCCAGACAGTGCTGGCCATTTCATGGGTCACCTCATTCCATCCTTACCGTCCCCAGGGGTGAGCACAAGGACCATCCATCTCCTGAGGAAAGGCTTTGAGCTCAATGGGATTACATCAGTTGTGTAAGGTCAAAAGAGTCAGAACTGGGACTTGAACCCATGAACCCACGAACCCGTGCCTCCTGCCTCTGAGGCCTGCTGTTCCTCACTGGGCTTCCCAACACAGACTTTTCTATGAGCCAACGACTGCCCTAAGCTCCTTCTGTAGGTGAACTCATGTAACCTCCCAAACAACATTTTGAGGAAGGTACGATTTCTGTCTCCAATTTACAGTTGTGGAAACAGAGACATCATGTCACTCACCCAAAGTCATGCAGCTGGTATGTGTGGGGCACAATCTGAACCCAGGCCACGTGGCTAATTATGCCACTTGCCTCAATCCTCACAGACTTAAGCCCCTTGAGGGAAAGGACTCGAATTTACTCAGTTGTGTATCTTCCCCAGCTTCTGCAGTGCCCCGCACAGATTAGCCATCCGACACGCTGGTTCAGTGGAATCCCCTGGAAGGTGACCCACTAGCCGCCTGACCTGTCCCAGCTACATTCTGATTGCATGAAGACCCTAGGATTTGCAGCTCAGTCAAAGTAGGATCAGGCCAGGCTGCTGGCTACTCATTTTGCTTTACTGATTTTATAAGATGTTCTTTTTTATCATAGCATGGACCTGGAGCTCCTGGAAAATGAAAGAACAAGAAAGAGGAAGAAAGAAAGGCCGAACACAAATTTGAGCACCACAGAGTTAGGAATAATTTCTACCGGAGCATATTTTTCACATCTGGGGACCTGAGTTCTCAGTGCCAGTCACGGAGGTGGCTAAATCCCTCTTACACCGTCTTCTGTGTCCAGTTGTGCCTGGAAAGATTTATCACAGTGAACCCAAGTTATCCACTTAGCCTGGTGGTGCTCAATGGTGGGTGACTTTGCTTTTTTCAGGGAACAAGTGGCAATGCTTGGAGACCTTTTGGTTATCCCAGGGGAGCTGTGTGCGTGCTACCAGAATCCAGTGGGTAGAGACCAGGGATGCTGCTGCCCACGCTACAGCACCAGGAGAGTCTATGCAACAGAGCTTCAGCCAGAACACAATGTCAGTAGTGCTGAGGCTGAGAAATCCTGATTAGCCGAGCAGGCCCCAAATCTGCATGTACAAGGGGTTTGAAAGCAGAAGTGTCGCTTAACAATGAAATTAGGTTTTATGAGAGCTTCACCCAGAGAGCAGCAGAGATCACTGGGGAGAAGTGAAAGGGACCAAAGTAGAACCATTTGGGTTTAGGGGCATGGTCTTGAAGAAGGTCTCGGGCCTCTTCCTACACACAAGAGCTGCGAAGCTTATTAAATGCATTCTCCTGGGTCTCACCTCAAACCCATGAAGCCAGACCTTCTTGGGGAGAGTGGGTGGGATCTGTATTTTGAGGAGCCCCCATGTGATAGGGATGCTCGCTACAGACTCTTCCACTCTCCCAGAAGTAGGGGCAGTAGACTGGGCTGGGGTGGAGTCTGTAGGCCAGGTACCTGGTGGTCTGTAAAATTATGCACCTTCTAGCATGATTTGTGGTCATTTGTACCAGATCATTGTGCGTTGTGCCCCGAGCAAATGCTACCTGTCCTACTCTTGGCTTAATAATTTTATAAAGTGGCTTTTTAAAATTCTGGCATCTTTCTAAGCAACATACCCAGGAAATCATAGTTTTGAGTTGCTGGTTAGAGTTTTCCTCACACTCTTGAGAATAGAAACTACGAAAATAAACAGCGTGTTCCCACCCCACTTAAAATGGACACAGCGCCTTATGGCAAAGCAAGTGCACTCAGCCAGAAGGCCACCAGTGGTGACCGTGACCGCAGGCTCTGCCAGGTGGACATAGTGCCTGGCTCTTTGTTTGGACTCTCAGAGCCTCTTTTTCAGGATGTACGACAATCCCCCTGCTTCTCAGGGAGGAAAAACAGCCAGCGAAGTCTCACCTGCCGTGAGCTGCAAATACACGGGTCTTCACACAACCGGAATGCAGCTGGGGCGGGTCAGGTGGCTGGTGGGGCAGGTGGCCAGCAGTCACCTTCCAGGGGCATCTGATTGCACTGACGTGTCTTGTGCTGCACTGCAGAAGCTGAAGTCACAGCAGTGAGCGAGGTGGAGTCCTTTCCCTGCAGGGGCTCAGGTCCCCGGGGAGTCAGGCAAGTGTCCCCAAAGAGGCAGCGTGACATCCTTAGCCTTGGGGCCACACTGACGGCCACAACTCCCTCACCAGGGGGAAAAGACCACCTGAATCCAGCACCAGGGCCAAAGGAAGGACTGACACATTTTGAATGTCATTGAGCCTCAGAAATGGGAAGCCAGGTGTGAAGAGCAGAAGTCCCTCTATCTAGAAGCTGGTTTCCACGATCATCCTCCTGTTCCTGGAGCCGTTTTTAGGTGCAGGTTGTGGGGCGGGGAAGTTGAGAGAGTAGCATGAGATACCAAAGCCTACAAAAAAACTCCATGTCTCTGCTAAAAATCAGAATAAACAGGTGCAACCTGTGTTCCATTTCCACCCTCTTCCAGCAAGGCTCAACTCGACACCGTGTCAGTCTCCCCTGGGCTCCGCACTCAGCCCAGCCTGCTGCAAACCAGCGCATGCAGCAGGCGCCCGGGAAGACGGGTCCGCGTGCACTCGCTGACACCACTTTATTTTTGTCTTTTCCCTCTGATTTGCATTATCCTGGCATAATTGCCACCTCAGGTGAAACCTCTGTGTGTCAGTTGTTGCCTACGTGAGATACATTGATTCTCCACGTAAGTCAGGAGATTGGGAAGTGGGGTGGGAGGTGTGACTGTGGAACTGGGTTAAGAGGAGCCGAGACACAGCATTCAGACCCAGGCCTGACAAGCACAGCCTATCAAAACCCGTGACAGCGTTTCTCTCTGGGGTAAAGGTCTGAGACTTAAGTGGGGTGTTTCTGAGGAAGGCCATCAACGGAGACAAGTTTTTCTACCCTCTGAAAGGGCTGTGCAATTGTCTACTAGCAGCATTTGGTTCAAACTGAAGGACAATCTGAAATATAAATTGCAAACATTAATGTGTTTTTATTGAGCACCTACTAGGAGCCAAGCAGATCCTATGTATTGAGGTCAAAGTCCTCTCTCTCACTGAACAGGGGTGGGGAATAAAAGCACTCACTTAAACTATATGTCTGAGAGAGGAAATGCTCCCAGGACTGTGAGGAATGAAGTGGGTGAGCAGAGGGTCTACACCAGGCTTATAAGGTGCTGTATCCCTGGAGGCAGATTCAAAAACCAAATGCACTCCTCAAAAAAAAGTACGCAGCAGTCCTTAGGAAACAAGGAAATCCACAAATGTGTGGATGAGAACCTGGATTCGCAGTGCCCAGGTCAGTGCTTTGGGCCAGGAGGGATTTAATAAGACATCTATTAAGTGGGGTTGTTGACCCAACCCCTAATCCTGGGCACCAGAACTTTGGCAAAATTATGAGACTCTCCAGTGAGTGGAGCTTTGAACAAATCTGTGCAAAACTGTGGCCCCAGCTGAAGAACAAGGCCAGGAGCCCAGAGATCAGGGGACATGCAGCCTCCGGGCCAGCCTGCTGGGGGGTGCCCCCCGGTGTGGCCACTCTCCTGCTGAGTGACATCAGCAAGTGACGTGGCCTCTTGAAGCCTCAGTTTCCTTCTGTGTGAAGCGAGTTGGTCCTGGTATCTAGCTCACGGCCACTGTGAAGCTTGAAGGGATTAATATAGGTGAAATCCAAGAACAAGGCCAGGTACCCAGTGCTCAATAGGCACGAGCGGCCTGTAGGTTCCTGTGCCCGGGACATAGTGGGGTCACTTGCTTCTTATTTGGACTTGAAACAAAAGGAATCCTGCAACATGGGGTGTGTGGTAGAGGAAGTGGGGTGAGCCCGCTTGGTTCAGCCTCTCCTGCAGACTCCCCCTTTCTCATTTCTTAAACAGAGCTGAACGTGTACCTGTTAGGCGCTGTTGGGTGCTTTTCTGGAAGTGAACAGTTAACCACGTCCCCACCATCAGGATGAAGACCATCTTCCGCTCTGGGCAACCTACCATCTCTGCCCCCACCGACAGTTTTCCCCAAGGGAGATTTATGTTTGTTCTGCTGTTTCTTCACCACGACTTCCTCCTGGGGTCTTGCCAGAGTGACAAGACCCCAGTGGAATAGAGAGCTCTGTCAGGAACGTGACAGCTGTGTGACCTTGGGCAAGTCACTTCACCTCTATGAGATCAGGATTCTGTATCTATGAGTGACATGCAGAAAGTGCTAGGAAAGTGCCACATGTGCAGTGATCTGAGTCAGTGGTGGCTTCTTTTCACAGCGTGGATGACATCAGTTGGGACACCTTGCTCAGGTCCCTGTTCCAGCCCTGAAATGTTTCGTCCACTTGAGGGGACGGTCCACTGTGACTTCTTCTAAGAATTCAGGTTCCAGGTTGAGCAGCGCTGCTTGAAGGCATTGAGCAAATGGGGCCTGGTGACCTGGGCCACCACAGCTGGCAGGAAGGACAAAGCTGTCCGGACACACTGGATGGGGATTTGCCCCCCTTCCACCCCTTGGTCACACAGCGTTGCCTGGGTGTGAGGTCCGGGGCTCCATGGCAGACCCACAGAAGGAAACACACTTGGTAAGACTGTCTCTTCTTGGTTAGGAAGAGACAGTCTCGCCAAGTGAGGCTGCGTCTGTCCGAGACGCTAACCTAGCCGTGGTGTGTCCCCGTCTTTGCAACCTCCTTCAGTAAATGGAAACGAAATTGCTCCATTAAATTTCTAAATGCCACATTAAAAAAACAAAACAGACAGACAAAACAGAAACCTTCCCAGGCGGAGAGGGATAAATCCAAAACAAAATAGCGGGTTACAATGTTTTCCACAAACAATTAGGCTTGATTTCAGACCAAGAAATGCAATCTTGGGAAATGTCTCAGGATCGCAGGGTTCTGCTGAGCTCTTGGGGCAACAAAGCTGTGCTGTCTGAAAGCGGGGGTTGCAGTGGCCACCTTCACCCCCTGAACGTCACAACCCTACGAGGTGGAGACTGTCACTCTTCCACTTACGAGGGGACACAACCGAGGCATGACAAGGTTAGTGGTGTAAGTAGTAAGTGGGGAGCGGGATTCTAACCACGGCTCATAACCACTCTGCTGCTCATAATCTAGAAGTGGCGGCAGCACCCAGTACCTGGAGTAGCCCAGACCCTATTCTCCAGACACCCAGGACCTGTGGGGTGCACCAGTGTGCAAGGAGCAGCTTCCACTGGCTTAGGATGTCCCTTTCTTTCTTCCTTCTTCTTTTTTTTAAATTATTTTTTTAGTTGTAGATAAACACGATACCTTTATTTATATTTTAATGTGGTGCTGAGGATGGAACCCATTGCCTCACACGTGCTAAGCAAGTGCCCTCCCAATGAGCCACAACCCCAGCCCTCGAGGTGTCCATTTCTGAGTGTGTCCCCTTAGCGTGGGACACACTTAGAAATCCATCCTAACCTTGTTATAATTTCCCATTTCACAACCACGGACATTGAGGCTTGGTAGGGTCAAACCACTTCTCTGAGGTTGTGCACAGCGAATGTATCCCGAAACTAGAACCTACATCCTTTATTAGCGATTCTCAGACACTTGCTGTCACTGATGACATGGAACCAAGTCAAAGCACAATCAAGCAATGAGTGGGGGAAACTGCAGATGTTCACCAGGTTTCCCCCCTGGTCAGACCAGGGGGGTGGTGTGGGCAGGGACTGGCTTCAGAGCCAGACAGGTGGACTTGTGCAAGTGACTCCATGCCATTGAACCTTGTCTATAAATATTTGTCCTAGATGCTCAATAAATGTTTTTAAGAATAAATAGATGAACAAAAAAAGCACCTCCTAGTATTTGCGTAGGGATTAAACAGGGTAT